TATATATATGTATCGAGATATATAACACATATAATGTCACTGTGTATTTGTATATATTTCACGACAAATAGTTAACGTTTATGAAAGCCAAATGCTTACGAAATATACGAAACCGAACAAGGTGGAAATAATACATAGGAGGAATTTCGGTTTCGCGCGCAATAGTGAATCTGAGAAAAACGAGATAAACGACGACGACGAGTATCTAAAGAGTATGTACAAACACGTGTCAGAAAAACGGATCTCCCAAGAAAAAAATGACAATATATAGGCGAAAAGTGTGAAGATCTTAACAAAATAATAAGTCCTATCCAGGATAAAATTCTTTATTACTCCTCCTTTCTAAAATCGTCTTGAAATTCATAAATTTTCATACACATTTCGCTGTGCGCCTACCACAACAACGGTTTTTTTTTTGTAATTACAGTTATTCAGTTAATTACCTAAAAGTAAGAGATACAATAAGCGTAATTATTTTATATGTACAATATATCTGTTTTTTTTTGTTTCATTTTATTACGAGTTCGAGAAGTCTACGATTTGTAACCACATTCGCACCTTTAATCTTTATTCCCTCCCATTCTCGCGTTACGGCTGGCGACAAATCGTTTCATGGCTCGCTACCGCGAGAGGTTTTCCTTTGAGACCAGGCGTTCACAGATAAAATCAGGAATCCCTTACACCGGTTATACTCAATGATCAGTGCCTACGTGTTTCAACTTGCAACAAATAACAATCAAGAGCTACATAATCTCAAATATCCATCGTTCACTCTTGTACGCGATTATTCGGCTTGCAGTAATAAGAAAAGTACAACTATCAGTATGTCAAAGAAGAATAGAGTCAAGTGTAACTGTAAAAGGTCCAAAAAAGTGATCTGTTTTTTGTAAAGTATTTCAACAAAACAAAGCCGTTCTGATCTCTCCCTCTCTTCCTCTTTCTCGATGTATCCTGGAAAGATGTCATTCATTTGTCGTCTTATCTACATGTATGTTTTAAAAAATGAAATATACAATCGATAATGCGATCATATAAAGATATCTTTTCGTTTTTTCTATGTGTTTCTTATATTTTTTTACAGCTTGGCAAAAGGAGGAGCGTCCTATGGAAAGACTAAGAGAGGAAGAGAACCGTATTATGTCAC